GGTAGGGTCTGGCCTTACCTCCAAGGTCCGGCTGGTGATGCACATTTTGGTGTGTTGAGTTAGGAAGGAATATTAAGAGTATGCTGCATACATTTTAGAAATTCTACCCTATAACTTACTTTAAGAATGAAAACTATTAGAGATATTTAGACCATCTAGATCTATGATTTATGGCTCATAATTTTTCTTTCATAATTTTCATCTATTTGTCCTTATATTATGTTCTGGAATAATTTGAGTTTGATCTTCGAGATCACAAACTTACTGATCAGTTCATCAATGAAGTTTTTCATTATAATGATCAAAAAATTTAGTTTCATTGTCTCTAATCACTTTTCTCCAAAATAAAGCTGTTCCTTTTTTAGAAGCTGTTCTTGTTTTTTTAATTTATTTTTTCATGAATATATATCCACTCTTAGTTTTCTGTTAAAGGATTCTATTTATTCTACTAATTTTGTTGCTTCATGTATTAACTGACTGGAGTTTGATGGCTCTTTCACATGGCTCGTTTTCTTAAAAGGCCTTCTTGGGTGTCAGCGCACCTCTGTCTGATTTCCCTGCTCACCTGTCTGCTGACAGTTAAGTTTCTCGGCTCTCCTCCTATTGTCTGACAAGTCAGGTGGGACCTTCCACTGGGTGCAGGGAGCAACTCATCTTTGGAGGGTGGAAGACTCTGGATCCTCCGATGTCACCCACCAGCCCGGGAAAGCTCGGTCTCTGCTCTCTGCTCCTGCCTGGGGACACGGGTTTGGCCTCCACGTGTTGGCGTGAGTGGAGATCAGAGCAAGCCAAGGCGTGGCTGTTTTGGGGCCCCCTCTGCCCACTGCGTGTGCAGCAGCTCCTCTGGCACGGCTCCCACCATTCACAGATGTTTTCTAATGTCTGTGTGTGTTTTCCATTAATTTCATCCAAACTGTTCCAGTCTTCCCAGAGGTATTCAAAGTTCCCGATGCGCTGACGGCCTTCTTCTCTATACTGCTTTAGATTTGTTTCGAGTATCTCTTCTGTCACTCCCGAGATTTGGCTCAAGCGAACAAGAAAGATAGATGTGTGAGATTCGTCTGCAACCTTACTTTTTCCATCTGGATGCTGAGTCTACTTTCCCCCCAGATCTCCTAGGGTGCACTACCCTCCCCCACCCCTGCCCTGACCACCCTGTCCCCCGCTTTCATGCTGGTACTTGATAAACTACCTTGTCCAAAACAGGTCCTCTGAGTATTTAAGGATTCAACACTTGCCATGGCATCAAATACTTTAATTTATGTGAGGGAGTAAATTGCAAAAAAAAAAAAAAAGATTGTATTTACACAAAGCTACAGATTCTATATGAAGAATGAATCAAAATGACTACTGTGTAAAACTCTAAATTTAAGTAAAGTTTTTAGGAGTCACTCTTTATCATCCTGGAAAAACAATCTAAATATGACTGGTAGTCATTTCGACAGTCCATGTAAAGAGAACCACAGGCGAGCAGGGTATGCCCTGATTGGCGTGCCGTGGCCCAGCGCCTAGAGAGCGGGGTGTGTGTGTGTGTATGTTGTGTTAACTTGGAGGAACCATAATTGTTGCACTCTTTCACAGAATTTAATGTGTTGCTTTTCTGTATTTTAATTTTTTAGAGATTGTTATTTAACACATAAGGCAATGCAAGTGATTGGTACTGTCTACTAAAAGTTAGATGTCTTACAATGTTGTAGAAATGAACAAGATAGTACCCTCATAGCACTTGAGGCCTCCCTATGTTTGTACATATCTCCACCTGTTCTGTTTCCTTGTTGGCACTTGTGACTGGCAGGCCAGGCTCAGAGCTTCTTGAAACCGACCAAGACTTCTACATCTTTTTGCATTCTGTGTATCTACACAAAGCCTTGCCGAAAGCAGTTGATCAATACATTTCATTGCTCACCATTATATTTGTGTGCCTCTTTGATGGAATATATGGCTCAAATTAGATTATGATTCAATATTAGAGACTAATAAAGAGAAACAGAAGTAGCAGGAACACTTCATACATCGCCTGCTAGATATATAATACAATTCGTGCATTTTATAAGTAGGGAAAATGAGACCCAGAAGGATTAAATGGGGACTTTGAAAAGGCGGCAGCTGACTCTGCACCCAACTTCCCAATTCTAGCATTTTCCCCTTCCCAGCACAAGTTAGATTGATGTCTGGAGAATGAATGGCCAATTTCATAAATGTTCACCGCTGTGCAATACTGAATAGCGACAATCTATCTCCTTTGAAAGGCAGCTTTGGATACTTGCAGATATGTAACTACCCGGAAGGCACTAAGCAGTTCAGGCCCCAGCAGGCATCGCTGCTGGCAGGGGGAGGGAAGGTACACTTGGCGATGACCTGCTCTTTCTGTGCCACTGACAACCAGAAAGCTTCACTCACTGATTAGGAAATGCTGTGGCCAATTAAAGGCAGTAGCATTTACAAATAACTCGCCCTCTTATGAAGGCATCAGGACTCCTCACAGTAGAATACCAGGGTCCCAGACTTCTGGAAGTGGAGAGGAGCAAAAATGTAGCCAGAGGAAGCCCTGCTCTAGCACAGGAAGCTTTTGAGGTCTGATCACCCTGCTATTTTCTGCCTTATTGCACCTTTTGGGCTCGTCACAGGAGATTTGTTTTCATTCGCTTGGTACACACTGCACCTCCACATGTCCACTCAGGCTCTCCCCTCCATCTGAAACACTCCTTAGCCCCTTTTCTGCCAAGAGAAAGCCTCCCAGGTTTAAAAATCCAGTTAAACTTGGGGAAGCCTTTTCCAGCTCCCCAAGGAAAACATCACCTCAGGCACAACAGCTGATTTGTCATGTCAGTGTGTGGCTTTCATGATGGCCTATGGCACATCCACTTGTATGTGATGTCCTCCCCCGCTGTGAGCCCCTAACACGGGACCAAGAATACATTTCACATGCAGTCGGACTTTAATTCTATCATCTAATTTTTTAATGAAATCACCCAACTGTCTCACTTTCCTTTTGCAAACTGAATCCCAGAGAGGCAGGGGACATGTCAATCGTCAGGAAACAAGCCAATGTCAGGGCTCAGACAGCCACGCACGCTCTTTCCTCACCCACTCTCAGAGGGGAAGGGCTGGCATGGTGGAGTCTGGACTAACAAACCCACCCTCCTTGGCTACTTGCCTAACTCTCTACTCGGCGTCTGACTGCTATACTGTATTGCTGGCAATGTCCGTTTTCCTCAATAACAAAGACTTCCCAGTTCAGAACATGTACATATGTGGCTAATAGGAAAAGTGAGTGAAGTCCAACATGATAAACAGGGAGGTGTGTCAGACTCCTATTCAGTCTATGAAAAACCTACTCATAATTCTCACTTTGCTCCCGTAAGTATGGAGAGAAGGCATAGCTCATTTGGAAAATGTGACCGAAAGCCCACATTTCAACACAGTGTAATGCTTTATCCCCTATTCCTTCCATCACACCAAGAACTTTCTATATGTAATTATTTAATCCCTGGCCAAAAACTAGTGGACAATGAAATCCCCACAAAATGTACCCCCTGCCCACGAAGTGTTCACACATCGGTTCCACAAGAAACATTTTTCAAAGCTTTTCATGTGATTTTTCCATGCCAATTTTTCCTTTTACTCATAGCTAAAAGTTTTCATATTTGAATATTCATCATTATGAGCATCTGGTAAAATACAGCCCCGTGCAGTAATTTACATCATTTGACTAAGGGACCTTAGGAGGAGATAGGTAAAAAGTTCCAGTTTCATGTCGTTTAAATTTTTAACCATCTTTCCCCATTTCATGGCTTTGGATAGCTTTGAATGTGCTGATATTTCCTCCTATAAATACGGAAAATGAGATCCAGAAAGATGAAGTACTTTGAAATGGATAAAATAATTACTATTAGATTTTCCTCCAAATAGGTTGCTTTTCAGATGAGTCCTCATGGATTTCACCAGGGGCTGGGTAGGGACAACAAAATGAGGACACAGGTCACAGGTCTGTATTTCGTGGGTTTTGCCTTAGACCAACAGGCAAGGCCGTGGTGATGGAGGCTGAACAACAGTGGGAGTGCAACAGCGAAGTAGACACCTAAAAATGGTTCAAACAGTGACTTTTATGCTATGCCCCCTTTACCACAAGTAAAGGCCGACTTACAGAAGGTAACAATTATCCCAAACCCTGCACCAAGGCAGAGGGGGGAAAGCGAACGATGACCTCTATTTTTCAGACAGAGCAAATACATGGCTCTCGCTCTCCAGTTCCAACAGGCCTCTTCCGAAGCCCTCAGCCTGCTCCTTCCCCCATGCAGTAGAGAGAAGAGAAGGAGCTATGCCAGATCGAGTGGAGACCTTAGGAAAGCTCGTGTTAAACCACGGGACCATACCCTCTGCACACAGACTGGATTCTAAGGTCAGCCCTTGGTCAACAGCTCCCAGTCTTTCCGTTTGGTCCTGCCCAGCTCCTGCCCTTCACGGGATGCGTGAGCAACTGTCCAACGTGGCTGTGGATGTGTTTAAATTACAGGCAGTCGTCAGAATGTAATTTAGAGAACTGTTTTGACAAATTGGAAGTAGGACATAAAAAAACTATAAGATAACAGATGAGGAACTGGGGGTGAGGGGCACACACAGAGGAGATTCATCAGTGAGCAGGTTGGTTGTCTTCCAACCTCCTGAAAGACACCACGTGGTGGGCTTATTTTGGAAAACAGAAAGAAGTAAAACCAGGGGCAAGAGTTTCCTATAGTGTTCAGAAGAAACGTATAAGCATCTGGAAGGAGAAGGCTACGAATTACGAACCCACCCAATGAGCCTCAGGTTCACTGACGGCCTTGAAGACGTTCGCTATGAGGGAAGCGTTGAGGACTCCTGGGGGACAGCGGTGAAGTCTGGGGTGAAGTTCAGGGCGAGCACTTTGGAAGCGGGTGAGATGCAAGCTCATCAGCCTGGTCAGTGGGGGAGGGGGGGAGTGGCAGGGGAAGTGGGACGTGGGGAAGGAGGGCACTTACCAGGCCACCTCCACAGGTGCTGAAAGAGGCCAGGGAGCCGGGATGCCGCAGCACCGCCCCGGTGTAGAAGCAGGCGGCGTCGGGCGGCGCGGGAGGGCCCGGGGTGGCGGCTGCCCGCGTGGGGCCCTGGCCAGGGCTCGGCCGCTGCTCCACCTCGAAGCGCGGCGCCAGGAAGCGGCCGTCTCTCCGGAGCAGCAGGTAGAGGTCTCGGGAGAAGGCCGGGATCCGCAGCAGCACCTCGTCGCCTTCCGGCTCGGCGTGCAGGGCCGGGGGCGGAGACGGGGGTGGCTGTGGGGGCGGCGGCGGCTGCCAGGAGGCTGGGGCGCCCGGGGACACAGAGGCTGCCCCGCCGGATCCCCGAGGCAGCTCCTGCGACTCAAACTCCTCGTCCTCCTCTCCCTCCTGCGGCGGCGGCGGGGGCAGCGGCGGGGGCCGGGGCTCGGACAAGCCCTCCACGGGCTCCTCGGGCGGCGCCGGGGCCACGGAGCGCACCTCGCGGGAGCTGCTGGCCGCTGGAGTCCGGGAGCCGCGTACCCAGCCCGGGTCCGCGCTGACCCCGCTGCCGCGGGCCGGGTCCACCGGCTCCCGGCGCCAGAGCGCAGGAAACACGACTTCCCACTCCTCCCGGTCCGGGGCGAACTGCAGCCCTGCGGGCGGGGCAGACAGAGAAGTGCGGGCTGAAAGTGCACAAGCATGCCCAGGCTCACAGGCTTGGAGACCACCCGTCTAGCCCCTGAAACTCCAGCAACCCCTGAAGCCCTGCGATCGGATTACAAAACCCAGCGTTTTCAAAATAAAAGTACGATTATAAGGCGGGGGAGGGGAGAGGGAGTGGGGCAGTCACGTCTGGTGACAGCGCTTGGTTGTGGAAAGGTGCAAGACTCCAGCACAATTAAATAATTTTCTTAAGTGCATGCCAGAGCAGTGCTACCGGTGTATGGCCTTCCCAGTTTTCCTCCAGGTGCTATAACGTACCTTTGCAAACATCACTACTCTCATAGAGGAAAACGAGCCCTTTCAGGATGGTTTTTTAAAAGGCCTGGAGAACGGCGCTTGGCTCAGGAGCGTGACCCCCTCCTGCGCCCCCGCTCGCTCTTTTCCTTGCTGCCCACTGAGCCCTGCTCGCTGCGCATGGGCCGCACCAGCCCTGCTGACCCGTGCGTTCCTGGTCTCCGCTGGGGACCTTGGAGAGCAAGCCGCAAGTCACTGCAGCACTTACCTGAAACGATCCCATTCGACAAGACCCCCAGCTGGTAAAGGAGGCAGCAGCAGCAGCAGAGGTGAGCCAGGCGCATCTCGCGGCTCTTCCCCGTCTCGCGCTCCTGCGGCCGCAGCTCCCTGCCCCGCGCGCGCCTCTCTGCGCGATCCACCGCCTCCCCGAGCGCAAGGAGGCCGGGCGGCGAGTTTGCCCAGGCCCTTTGTCTGCCGGGGGCGGGGGGGGGGTGCTGTGTGACTCGGAGAGGCTGCCCGAGCACAGGCGGGGGTGGGGGGGGGGGGGGGAGGAGCGGGGGCAGGCAACGCCACAGCCCCGCAGCTCTCCGGCTCCCTGGCGAGTTAGGTGATGAGTCTATTTTCTGTGTTCTGGACGTTGCAGGAGTTTCCGGAGCCCCACAGGACCGACCCACAGTAAGCCGAGAACCCGCAAGCGCGAGGCGGGCAAGGCTGCCTGGAGACGGAGGGAGGACTGCCCCGCGCGGGCCGGAGAGCCGTGGTGTCCGGACCGAGGCTCACCGCGTGCACCCGCGCCTAGCCGCCAGGGGTTGGTGCCGATGTCCCAGCAACCTGGCGTGGCCGTGTCCGCACGCGCCTCGAGACTAGTGCTTCAGGCTCTCACCCGCAGCTGCGCGGGAGCTAACTTGTGGGGGGATGAGGGGGAGACTCGACTCGCGAGGTAGGGTATGAGGGAGAAAAAGGAGCCCAGGTTGCCCGCCAAGTGTGACTTTGCGGGACAAAGGTCCCAGAACACCGCACACGTGCTCACAAGCCCGGTTGGGACGGGGTGGGGACCCAAATTTCCTCACCTGACTCCTGATTGGCTGCTCTGGGAGCCTGATTTGCATCCTCACACCGCACGCGTTCACCCACCCCCAGCGGAGGTGTGAGCAGGTAGAAGTGCCTCCCTCTTCTCGCCCCACCCCCTGCTCAGGCTCCTCCTCCGGTCGAGGTCTCCCCCACCGCACGTCACACAAAGCAAAGCTTAGTGCAGACCTGAGCTCAACGCTGCCGCCCTGTTTACCAAAGACCGTTGACTTTTCTTCCCATCTTTGTCTCCAGGAATTTTCTAAGCCTGAAGATAATGGAATTCATCACGGAGTGTGCTTGGAAGAGTCCCAGGACAGACCTGACAATTCAGAGCCCCTTATCCCACCTTATCTTCCAGTTTCCCATTCACTGGTTCTCTCTCTCTCCCTCTCCTCCCTCCCTCCCTCCCTCCCTCCCTCTCTCTCTCTCTCTCTCTCTCTCTCTCTCTCTCTCTCCCTCTCTCTCTCTCCCTCTCCTCTCTCTCTCTCTCTCTCTCTCTCTCTCACACACACACACACACACACTCCTAATAAGATTGAGATTAAGGGGACCAATATTAAATATTGTATTCTAAAAATATCAAGCCAGGTGAGATTAATTTGCCTCTTACTTTTTTGTGCATTAAATATGTCATAGCTATTTCTGTCTTTGGAGGGAAATTCAACCTTATCTATTTTTGCCTCCTTTGTTGCTGCTCTTCAGGGCACCTACACACATTTTTTTCTTGGCCACATCAAACATTTCATATCAGACTCAAAGGTGATTGATCTAACCTGCCATTTGCACCCTCTGGGCCAGGCCAGACACCTAGAAATAAGAGTGAATGCAAATCAATTTCTTTAAAATGCTAGCACTGAGGTTGGTTCCCCACCTCCTTGGTTATTTTACCTTCTGTTCCTTGTGTCAAAGGTGACTACTATGCCTTTCAGGGAGGCAGGCGATCTTATTTCAAAGGAAAGCCATTGTTTAACTAAGCTGAGTCCCAGAAACATTCTTGAGTGGTCCAGCATTTAAAAACAAACACGAAGACCCTCTAGGTAAGTTTGTCAAGAATGTTTTTCTCCAAACCTTATCTTGTAAAAGCTCTAAAATGAGTTATGAGGGTGGGCGTGGGTATCCACAAATAACTGGATATTTCTTAACTCAAGAAATATCTGAGTTACTTAGGAAGCTACACCTTTTTATGGGACTCAATTATACAGACTTAAAACCAGACAAGAAATCAGATGCAGTTTGTGCTTAGTAAGTACAGCAAGTCATTAAGACAGAAGGCTAGTTTCAATGAAACACCTCCACAAGCATATGCCTTAAATGTTTCTGATATAATTTTAACAATAACAAAAATATCAATAAAATTGTAGGAATGCATATTAAATTATAGGCATTTATCAGAATAAATGTTTGCTTCCTTAAAACAAATGAGTTATGTGATTAAATTAATATACTCCTCAGAAGTACAGGTTGCCTATGTAAATTCCCATCTCTGCCTTTTTTGCCCACTACCAAAGCATAATCCATGCCAGCTGTTACTCTGTCTCACGGTAGATGTTAATCTCGATGGTCACAGAGAAGTTTGCCTACCTCCCAGCAAGCTCTTCTCTCTCGCATTTGAAATACTATTATAATTTACTGGTATATTTTCAAAGGCTTTTATAAATCATTTGGGTTGTAATGACTTGTATCCTGATTTCTCCTACTAAACTATCAATTTTTGAAAGACAGGAATGATTGCTTTTATATACCTTTTTTTCATCACCCTACCTAATTCAACAATTTACATCAAATAGGTGTGGAAATTCTCAGGAAATTCTCTGAGATGCTTTAGAAAATGTTGGAAATTGATGTCTTTATGGTATTTTATTCCACTTCCAGTTTTTGAACCTCACTACCAGCATGACTTAGCTGGCTTACAGAGCGAACAAGCCAAAGACGGAAATGGCTTGTGGGACATTTCTGTGCCCCAACTATAAGAGACTTAGATGTGCAAACAAGAGCATCAGTTAAAGTGGCTCTGAGTAAATTTCACATATGTATGGATGTGAAAGCAAGGACGAGCCTGATTTGGAGTGGAGTAAATTGTGTATGGTGAGCTAGAGGAGAAAAGGCAGGACTGTGACATGTGTGTGCATTGCCAATCTTCAAGGAAAGAGAAGAACAGGTGGGAAAAATATGCTGCTTAAGACGGGTCAACACGTATGTCACCAGATGGTAGCTAGCATCAACCAAGGACTGCTTTTGTGGGGCGGAGGTAAGTGACCCAGCATCAGAGTAAGTGGACCCAGCTGTTCCAATACACAAAGTGCTCACATGTTGCATTTTATAACCCATGCTTTTCTACATAGAAAGTTGACTTTGATGCCCCAGCCCTTCTTCATTCTCCTCACTTATTGGCTCGAAGCATCTCAATACCTAAAGCTAATCTTAAATCTTTTCCCCTCCCAGAAACCATAAACTCTTAGGGAATACAAAGAACTCTTTCACTGAGCTGAGTGAGGATGCTAACTCCCAGGAGCACTCACATCTAAGTGGGCCTCAAGCCTTAAGCTAGCCCTGGCCACTATAGAGTAACAAGAACTACATTAATCCTCACCTTAAGCAATTAGAAAAATGGACAAAAATGTAAGAACAAACAAGAAACAGTGGTTTTCAGACACTGGACAACAGGCAGCCTAGGACTATGACCTATTCGAGAAAGGAAGCAGATAGGGAGGTGATCACTCCAATTTCCCCAGTTTACTAGCTGGGGGCAGTGTCCTGGCTCCAGCCCGGGAAGTAGAAATCTGAACAGCCCTGAAGACTCGCAGAGCTGGGGAGATAGGGCAAGATGACTAGAATTTACAGGCAAAGTACCAGAGACAAGTGAGCTCCGTAGAGAGTGTAGTACTCATTTATGGCTACCTAACCAATTTAGCAGTTGAAAACAACAAACATGTATTATCACAAATGATTTCTAAGGATCAGGAATCTATAAGCAGCTAAGCTGCAGATTTCTGGCTGAGGGTCTCTCACAAGATAGCAGTCAAATCCCTGGCTGGTGTGGCTCAGTTGGGTGGACATCCCTCTGCAAAGCACAGGGTCCTTGGTTCAAGTCCTGGTCAGGGCACATGCCTGGGTGGTGGGTTCATCCCCGTTTGAGGCATGCACGAGAGGCAACCAATCAATGTTCCTCTCTCAGATTGAGGTTTCTCTCCCTCTCTTTCTGCCCTCCTTCCCTCCCTCTAAAAATAAATAAGTAAATCTTTTTAAAAAATATTACTCCTTTAAACCTCCCAGGATCACATCTGGAGAATGGCTATTATTCTGCCAGGTTCAGAGACGGGAGGGAAAACAAGCCTGGCAGAGGTACCCATTCCATTCCCCACTTGCTCCGTAGCTGGTGATTGGAAGACACTGCAACAACGTCAAAAAAAAATTACTCCTTTAAAAAAAAGATTGCGGTCACTCTTGTAGCCAGGGCTATAGTTTCTGAAGATGTAACTAAATAAGAGGTTCTGTTTTCAAAGCCACGTGGCTGTTGACAGGAAACGTGCCACACAGACCTCTCTATAGGACTTTTCATGACTTGTATTCCCTCAGAACAAGTAATCCAAGAGAGAGAACCCAAACTATAAGCTGTGGTCTTCTTTTAACCTAATCTTGAAAGTAACATACTATCATTTCTACCATATTCTATTCATTAGAAGCAAATCACTAGATCCAGTCCCCACCCAAAGGGAGAAATAGTAAAAAAAAATTATGTACCTATTTTTAAAACCATTGGAGGGAATTAATGCCCTTTGGCCATAAATTATTTGCATTTCCTCCATGTGCAAAATACATTCATCCCCTCCCAAGGCCCTCAAAAGATTCATCCTATTGAAGCATCAGCTCAAAATCAAGAATATCACCATCTAAGAGTATCTATCTGCCCCTTTCTGTCCAGAAGTGGTTTTGCATCTGTAATTCTGTTTTCCAAACTTTGTGAGTCTTCTGTGAATCTTTATGGAATTTGCTCCACTAGACAAAGGCCACACCCTCAAATTTCTGGAAGACAAACCCTTCTCTACCTTGAGTTTATGATGAGACAGCTGAGAAACAGAGCTTTTATACCTCTTAGAAGCCCTACTGTTTGATTGAAGGGATCTGGGAGGCACACACTTAAACACTTTAGAGAGCCTTCATTCTAACGGGAAGATCCTCTGAATGACCACATGTCATCTTTATGAGTTCTTAACAAGGGATACTACAGTCAAAACTTTGGGTTCCTCATTAGACCATTCTTTCCTGAAAGTGCCCTGTATTT